AAAAAATTTTTCATTGGTACTTTCTTTTGCTATTTTCTCTATTATTTAAATTTTTTTTCTTTTATTTTGGATTATTTGTTATTTATTTTATTCAAATATTACTTTCCTAATGTTACCATTGCAAATATTACCAAATTAATGCCCAAATATTCCTAAATATTAAAATTTTTAAACATTCAATTTTTTAAAATGAAAACTTTTTCAAATTCAATTTCAATTTCTTTTTCCTTTTTAAATTAATACAGGTTACCGTTATTGATTATCAATTTTGCTATCTCTAATATTATTCTTGCAATTGGTTTTTTATCTTATACATTAATCATTGATAATTTTGATAATAATATGAATGATGCAATCGATTCAACATATATTGCTATTTCAAAGGTTTTTATTTTATTTTTTTTTAAAGTTTGTTTTTGGTTTTATATAAAGTTAATTTAAATTCCAATTATATTTCATATTGATAAATTTAAATTTTATCAACAAAAACATAATCATATAGAATGAAATGTTGTTATCAGATGGAAAGACTTGCTTGCTGTTAGATTATTTATTAAAAATATCCTATAATTTATTTAATTACTCCATTAATTTTCCCATTCATGATATCCGTTTTTTTTTCCTTTTTTTTTATAATTGTTATTTTGCCAAATAGAAAATTGTTAAATTTTCCCAAATAATTAAAAGATTGATTATAGAATTATTATAGCAAAATGATTTAATTAATTAAAACCAATTTTATTTAATTTAATTAAATTTTAACATATAAATATATTGATTAATGGTTTTTAGGAAATACTCAAATATCAAATTATGCATAATTTCGGCAATATTCAAATATTATTCCTATTTTATCTTGCTATCGATTCATACCTATCATTATTCATTGAACATAATCCTAATCATCATTCACTTATCATTGCTATGATACTTTTATCATTACCTTATATCATTTCCATATTATTTATTGATATACGATTCCTTCATTTATTTATCAGCACTACTTCTACTGTTATTATTTAGTAAGTTTTGCATTTTTCTTTTTTTTTTTTTTGTAAATTAATATTTGAGGAGTGATAATTTCAAATAACGATCATTAAGGAAACACTTTTGATCTATTTAAAAGAAAAAAAAGATTAGAAATGATAAAAAATGATTTAAAAGAATGATAAGAAATGATTTCAATCCATTAAAAAAAAATGATTAAAATTTAGTGATTAAACCAAATTTATTCCAAATTTTAACCAATTTATTTAAAAATCAAACATAACAATATGTTCTTTTTTTTTTCTTTTCTTAGTTCAAAAATATAATTTTCATATATTTTACATTTTCAGTTTATCAATTCTCACACTGATGCCATCATTATCATTTCTATTAATGTTATGTGTCACAATAAGGCAATGTCAACTTAAATCATCATTTTGGATGCGTAATCGATCATTAACCATAGCATTGCTGTTAATTACCCTTTTACAACTAATGGAAAAATGGGGATTAGTTTTAGAACTTCTCGAAGCAAACTTTCATATCATTATTGTTATCAATAATATTAATGATGACAATTATTTACGAATTTTTTTGATGAATTGGTATATGGTAAGATCAAAATATTTTATTTTTATAATTTTAAATTTATTACGATCATATAATATCAATTATATAATTTTATCCATATACATATAGATATGAATACTTTGAAATAAAAATTTCCATTATTGATTTAATTTTAAGTAAACTAATTTTTTAATTACGATGTATTCTCATCATCAAAATTGTATAGCATCCTTGCCCAACTGTTATCATTTTTAAATAAATTTATAATTGTTATCAATTTAAATAAATCCTCTTTTGACTGCTTACATTTTTATCAATGCTAATACATCCTTCCTATCTAATTGTTATCATTTTAAATAAACCCATTGTTTTAAATAATTGTTATCATTTTAAATACATCCGCTATTTTAAATAAACTCGTAAATATTATCATTTTAAATAAATCCTCTTTCGACTGCATGTATTCTTATCAATTTCAAACATTATTCTTATCTAACTGTTATCAATTTAAATAAATCCATTGTTTTAAACAAACTCATAACTGTTATCATTTCAACTGCATATATTCTTATCAAATCTGCTACATCATTCTTATCTAAATATTATCATTTTTAAGTAAACTTATAATTGTTATCATTTTAAAACTAAATCCCTAAACTTATAATTGTTATCATTTTAAAACTAAATCCCCTTTCATATGCATATATTCATTTTAAAGCTGATATGTTATTCTTATCTAACTTATTATCATTATTTTTCCATTATCACAAATATATCAAATAATGGATATAAAAGTTTTGATTCAAAAAAAAAAACATGTATAAGAAGGAATAAAAAGTTTATTAAATTGCAGATAGCACATGGATTAACGCTACTAATGCCTCTCTTATCAGTTTTAATTCTTATTTTAATTGTAAAAAGCTATCGTCAACAAGCTATTCAACATTTCCCACAATTTTATCGATGGATTTGTTGTTGTAAGCAAGCAGAAGATAAGATTGATTATAATGTTGAAACGATGCATTCAATTATTTCCGAACAAACACGTCAACGACAACTTCTTAATTAATTAATTAATTAGTTAATTATTTATCGATTGTTGAAATATTTTTGCAAATGTTTATGCATCAGTAATTGTTCAGTTTTTTTGCATAAAGTTTCGCCCTCTCTTTCTTTTTTTTTTTTTTCTATCTTCATATAACGACAAAAAAAAAAAAAAATTGAATTTTATAACATTTCAATTATTTCCATTTTTTTTTTTTTTGCAGAAGTTATGTTATCACTATTAATGATAGTAATTATTGATTGGATATTTTTGGGTATATACATAGAATTTATTGATAAAATTAATCTTTTTTCTCTCTTTCATTTTTAAATAATTTGGTAATCAAATTAAAAAGGATATAATTACATGATTATATTTAGTAATTTAATTTAATATGAATGAAAATTTCTACGATTACAAGTTATCACCTTAACAGTGATTATAATTGGCAGTTATCCAAATAACTTAACAATTATAATCAATAATTATTGAATAAATTTCACAAACAACTCTTGTTTTCTTCTGGAATTAACATTTTAATTAGAAAAATAAAAAGAGCCAATTTTTATCATTACAATAAACACTAATAACATTAGAAGATTGATTAACGTGAAACGTAAATTTGATAATTATAAAATAACTGATAATATTGAAGATGATTAATTCCAATCATATGATCGATTATATATATCACAATGATATGATCATTTAATATCATGCATAAATTGATTTGAATGATCGATTAGATGATAAGGAAATTTACACTGATAAGGCAATTTCTTGGTATGCATTAATTTGAGATAGTTTGGTTGAGAGAATGATCGATTGCATACATTGCATGAATATGGTCATTCGATAATGACTGATAATGTTGTTTGAGAAGTTTAGATTAAAAAAAAATGATAAACTGTATGAATTGCAGTGATATGGTCCATTGATAATATTGATGATATCAGTTTTGTACGTGACATAAATGATTGATTGCACATATCATGATGTGTTTGATTATCAGTATAAGAATGTTCCATTTGATTTGTAAAAAAAAATAATAATGGTAATAGCACTTAAAGTTGATTTGGTTTGTTTGTTTGTAATTCAACATGTATTGAAATAACCATTATTGCATTATGTGAATTTGAATTTTCATTTTTAATTAATTAAGCAAACTTCTATTAATTTGTGTTAATTATTTTCATTACAATGAATTCATTCATTCATTTTCTTTTTTCTTTAATGAAATTATTAATTATCTCTAGTGTGCAGAATTATCGAAAATAAATTTATTTTGTTTCATTTTAATTAGTAAATTATTCGTAATTGTTGCAATAATTACTGTAATTTGATCATTGAAAAAATCAAAATAATACAGGAAGGAAAAGTTTATCGTATTTAATTGGAATTATTTTTAATCAATTATTTTTTTTAAGTAATCGATTAATATATACATATGGCAGTTATGATTTCCTTTTCATTTCTCCTTTGATTATTTCAATAATAGATTTTATTCTAAGCAATATTACTTGAAAAAAAAAAGAAAAAATCTGTAAACTTTTCTTGAACAATTAAATTTTTTCTTTTTTTTGAACACTTACTACGCAATTTTCTTCATTTTAATTAATTAATTCATTTAAATTTGACTTTAAAAAAACAATTACAAGCAAATGTCGACGTTTTATTTTGATAGAAATATCAATTGATTATGTGGTAAATATAGCTTATATCATCATTAGATGAATGAATACCTGTGACCATATGACAGGTAATTGCTGGGAGAAGTTAATGAAAAATCAATAACGATAGGATTTTCATTTATATATCAAATCTCTATCAATTAACAGCTTCTCATCTGTTAATTGAATTTGATAAAATTACTCAAATTTTTATGAAAATATTTAAAAAAGGAATTTCTTAAAGTAATTGGAAATAAACAATAAAAGAAAAAAAAATGATTTTGAAAGGCCAGAAATATGCTTTTAAAAGCAAAAATATTATATGTAAAGGTCAAAAGTCAAGCAATTGTCCATTACTCGTTCAGCTTATTTTCAATTAATTCATTCAATGTATACGCTAATCCGATTTGCATTAATTTCGATTGTATATTGTACTGTATATTTTACGGTATATAATCCTATTTTATTATAATTTTTATGCAAAAAATAAAAGAAAATGGAAATTTATCTGATAAAACTTTTGATTGAATTTTTTTAAATTTTCTTTTACCATTTAAACTAATAATTTTATTGATTGAATTTTTCTAAAATTTTCTTTTACCATTTAAACTGATCATTTTATTGATTGAAATTTTCTAAAATTTTCTTTTACCATTTAAACTAATCATTTTATTGATTGAAATTTTCTAAAATTTTCTTTTACCATTTAAACTAATCATTTTATTGATTGGAATGAATTTCAAGTTCTACTGTTTAATCAGAAACACAATGTTTGAAATAAAAATTTTTTTAATTTTAAAAAAGGAAAAATTTTTTCAATAGTGTAAAACATTTATTTTTTTTAAATCATTTTTTTTTCAATAATAGCGTAAGACATTAGCATAAAAATGTAAAAACATAATTTGATTTTAAAAAAAGAAAAAAAGCATTGGAAATATATTTCAGTTAATTAGAATATTTCAATATTTCAATTAGAATATTCCAATTTAATTTTAAGTAAAACAAAATTTTTTTTTCAGATAAAATTTAAATATGCAAGTTTTTAATTTCTCTCTCTTTTTTTTGTAAAAAATCCATTTTGGATTTTTTTCATGTAATATTAATCGTTAATTTATTAATATAAAATTCATTACTGAAATTGAGACATAGTAAATTTATGCGACTATTTATTAGTTTAATTAACCTCGACTAAGTAACACATGAGAGATATATATCACAACTAGTATGATAAGCACAACTTTCATATATGATAAATCTGATATCGCTTTTTCTAACTTATCATCAATTTGTCGTCGCTGTTTTATCATATCAGACTTCATTGCTTCAAATTCTTTACAAATCTTTTCTACTTCCTTTTGAATTGTTTCACTTCGCTCTGCCCCACTACTACTACTACCACCACCACCACCACCACCACTAACACCAACACCACCAACACCACCACCACCACCACTAACACCACCAAAACCGCCACCATCACTAGTACCACCAGAACCGCTACCACCACTATCAGTAACAGTCATACTACCACGAGTATCATCAGTACCACTTCCAACATTCATCATAATCATTTTTTTCTTCGGCTGAGAAAGTGATGGTTTTTTTGGTGAATGAATTTTTTGATATGCTCGTCTTACTTTGCTTTCTTCTATTTTCATACCTAAAAAAAAAAAGAAAAAAAAATTTAATTTCAGAAATGATCAAATATTTATAAGAAGAAAGAAGAAAAATTAATTGAAGTATATTTGAAGAGAATATCATTTGATTAAAAATACCTTCAACATCCTCTTCATCATTATCTGTCAAATGTTCATCATATTCAAACATTGGATGTGATCCATCTTTCCTTTTATATAATTCCTCAATTTCACGTTCTATTTTTTCATCATCAATCATTACCTAAAATAAAATTAATATTAGATTATTCAATTCGTTTTTTCTTTTTTTTCTAATATATATCAAATATGTGACAAAATGGTAGCAAAATATCTCGATTGAATATGATAGATTATATAAATTTACTAAATATTAAGATTAAAATTTTAAGTTAAATATGATAATGAAAATAAAGGATAGGATAAAATTGCATAGGTTTTTGTTAAGTAGATTAAATGAAAAATTAAATTTAAAACTTCATAATATTTGCTTGATAGCTAATAAAATAAAGAATTATCTTTTGTAATAAGACTAATTAACTTAAAATATCTATACTTTATTAGATATAATTATTGATTCGTTTTTTTTCCCCTTTTTTTTTTGATGAATTAGGAAGAAACAAATATCAAGAATTTAAAAATGATCATAGGAATTAATCTTAATGATAACAAAATGATTTTTTTTTTTTTAAATGATTTTTTGAATGATTTTTTTTTTAAACACAAAATGACAAAATGATTTTTTTAAATGATTTTTTTTTTCTTCCTCTGTTAAATAGCTAAATATTGACAGGGAAATTAACAAATCGATATGACGGATAATTTGAAATTTGAAATTTACTGGTGCTTGGAATTTCTGTCCATGCTGTGTAACCTCCTGTCCTTGTATATGAGGTACTGTATCAGGTAATTTCTGATCTTTATATGCTATAAAGTCAAAAATCTTTTTAAAATTAAAAGTTAGATTTGATACCTTTTTCAATTTAATTAATGACCACAAACGAATGTAATTGGCAATAATTTCAATCAAATAAATCAGCGATGTAAAATTTGGAGAATTTTTTCAATTTATCATAATTTTTGCAATTCATAGAATATCAATTATCGAATTGAAATTAAATTAAATAACAGTTTATCTTTAAAATGAGAACGGAAAACAAAAAAAAAAAAAAGAATACTTAACCATTGATTCGAATTTTAACTCGCCCAACTTCGGCACCTTCTACAAATGGCATTCGAGGATCGTAACCACTTGGTGCTACGATATATTCGACAATTAAAAAAATTTTTCCAGGTTTACCTGGCTAAAATACATTAATTACCTGACATTTAAGAGAATGAGAAACAAACAGCATAATATTTCAAGATAGACAAAATAAAACTAATAAATAATTTCTCAATCAATAAATTTGTTTTAAAACAACAAAAATTATTATAGCATTTCTTTAGGCGATAAAAAAAAAAAACTAGGAAACTTTCCAGGAATAAAAATTTAGAATTACAAACGAAATTTAATATCATTTTAATAAATACGAATTCCAAATCACCTAGAAGTGACAAAATTAACAACTGAGAAACATGCCAAAGTTCACAATCATTCCAAATTTATCACTGGAAATTTTGAAGCTAAAATTTGAGAACTAAGAAAAATTCCGAATTGCAGAATTATTTCAAATTTATTATCAGTAATATTTGAAAAATTTTATTAAAATATGCAAATTTATTTCAACATTTCATACCCGACGTTCCAGAACAATTTGTTTTTTCTGTCCCGGTCGCAGGAATCCCATTGGTGGATTAACCTAAATTAGTAAAAGAAAAATGAAAAAAAAAAAAAAGAAAAATCATGCGACATTAGCAATTAAAGTCTTACCTACCTTACTATTAATTTAAGTTTTATTCCAAAAATTTATTAAAAAACATTCTTTCTTTTCTTCTTAGCTATTACTTAAAATTTGCATATATATATATTTTTAGTTGAAAATAATTCAATAAATTTTTCCTTTTAAAAAAATTTAAAAAAATGAAAAAAAAAGAGAAGAGGTTGACCAATATCGATTAGTAGAAAAGAAAAAAAGAAGCAACTTGCTAATATACTTTTTTGCATTTATATATATTTTTTAATGCATTTTAATTTAAGATATTATTAAAAAAATTCTTTAATTGAATTAAATTACTCGATATAATTGGAAATATTTTTTCTTCAATCTAACTCTGAAGCAGAGACGTTCGGTACCAGCACATTCCAATGTATAACTGGCAAATCCACCTTTGCATGGTACCTGAATATTTTAAATGAAATCAAAAAATTAAAATAAGATTTATTTAACAAATAAAAGAGAAAGAAGAAAAAAAAGGAAAAAGAGGGCAAGAGAAAAAAAAAGAAATTGCTAGAAGTAATAATTAAGTTTTTGGAAAATAATAATTAAAAAATAGTAATTGTGTAATTAAAAACTAAATTACATTAAAATAACAAGTAGTTATTGTAGTAAAATATTTGAAAATTCATTATACTGATACTTTCAATTTATGCAAAATTATATTGGATATTTGTGAAAAGTTATTTTTGAATTTTAACATTAATAGTTTTAATTAAAAAAAGAAAAAAAAAGAGAGAGAAAAGTAAAAGAAAATGAAATTGTTTCTTTAAAAAAAAAACAAAAACAATTTATATAGGAAAATAAATTCTTTATCACTAATATGAAAAGAAAAAAACAAAATCGCTAATATTCGTGATGATATGATATGATAAGAAAATTTAGTAGCAAAAAAAAATTAGAAAAAAAAAAAGAGAGCCTGTATAAGTGCCGGTGAAACGATCATATATGACATATCCGATCGGAATGAAATCAGTAAAAAAAAAAAAAAAAAGAAAAAAGCAACCGGATGCTTATTGCTATATGTATAAAAACTAAAAGAAAATGATTAACTTTTTATTTAAAAAAAAAATTTTATGCGAT